CCTCACACGATGCTCGACTGCACCAAGAACCGCCCCCAGACAGAAGGGGTTGGTTATTCGAGCTGCTAGCGGGAAACGAGACGTTAGGACCATCGTAAGGAACGATCCCCAAAGGCACCGCTCATACGCGAGGTGATCGAAAGGTTAAATATACGTGGAGATGTGGAGATTATCGATTCAGGGGAGATCGCTCGAATTTCACCTGGCGACCGGGGTGGGTCGGAGAGGTAGTTGCCGCGCCTCGGGCTATTGAAGATGCACCCTACGTATTTCAAGATGCCCCACAAGAATTCAAATAACAGGCTGTAAAGACGCCCATGTGCGGTGCAGTGATAGAAAGGCGCGCTCGTAAAAGACTGGAATTACAATGTGACTAATGATTACGGAGCACATAAACGTGCAGTAGTATGATTTTATCGAGCAATGAAATGCTGGCGTCACTCCGGAAAGTCACGATTGCGAGTGTACGCTAGCTCCAGTCTGTCATTGCGAGAGCATAAAACTAATAAAATTACCGATCAATATGGATGAGAGAGGTATTGTTCCATCAAATAGTCATAAATGATCATCAAAATCACACAACGCTAAGACAATTCACGTCATATGATATTAATTGTAGGTACTTTAGAGGTTTGTGAGGCATACAAATTTATGACACGTCTCCTACAAAGGCACCAGGCAATGTATACTCGCTGTTGGGAAAAAATTTAGACGAATCAGGAAGCATGCATCTTTAGCGTGGAATGGATTTCAGGTCACCTTACACGAGGCTTGGCGGATACTATCAACTAATTCACCAAGGGGCACTGAATAGACGTAAATTGTAAGCAACAACCAACAGGCGAATGAAACCATGTTTGGTGGCCTCATTTAAATTTACTGAATGGGCTATAGTGGAGCTACAACCCTTCATAATGTACTTGTAGACTATGCCATCTCCGAAACTGACGGCAAAGCTCACCTCTTCCGTCGTCAGTCATCGTATCCTCTTCATCGCCACTCGTGTGAAGCAGTTCGGCCTCTTCCATAATCACTACCGGTCACACTCCCATCACTCGCACATCACTCCTTCACTCCACACTCGCACTCTTCGCACTCCCTCCTCCGTCCGGCACCCACCAGCAACCAATCTGCACCCTGTCAGCTCGCAATGCACCCTTCTGCACCCGTCCAGCCCCGCCCCCTCGGACAGGGCGCCACCCTTGATTGCACGTCCCCGCACTCTGCGCAAGTAGTTCGTCTTTTACTCAGGGCCGGCTCCTCCCAGGTCGCTTGACAGCGGACACACTCTGTTGAGAGAGGCTGTGAGCGGATGTCCGTTGATTTCTGCAGGAGGGGGTGAACGTTTGTTGGCCGGCACAGAAGGGAGAGAAATTCGCTCCCGATACCGAGGTTGCTCCCACTAGAATGGCCAACAGAACCTCAGAGGACTAGAGTTCTTGAACAGTCACGTCGAATAATTCGTCAGTTAGCGCTAGCAAACAAGATTCCCACGATCGTGACAGGAAGCATTCACCTGAGCTGCTTATGACTTCATCAACGCAACGAACTGGATTTAATCGATTTAGCATCACACCACACCACACACATAACCACAAATTCACAAGACACTGTCAAAGTCACTTGAAACGCAGTGCTGAGCGCAGGGCGTCTCGCCGGCCCGGCCGGTCCGCGCCGGTGCACCGTCTCCGACGCGCACGGCGCCGCGTTCGACACTGCTCACCGTCCAACGCCGTCCGCTGCCGCCCGCCGCCCGCCGCCCGGGGTCCGTTTGATCTCACCGGCACGTGCCATAGGGAGGGGGAGCGCTCGTAGGAGTTTGTAGTTTGTATAGACGGAGGCGGAGAGAAGAGGCTATGGAAGAGGGGAAATGGTGGGCTGTCAGCAAACCAGACATACTGACCGATGGCCATATCATATCCACCATTAAAATTCACATTTTTGGATAATCTATTCGGTAAGATTTATTCGATAAGATAACCAACAACCATCGAGCTATCGATAATCTTACAGCTTCAAAGGACTTCAAGGCTCATTTAACCCGCGCCCCACTGCGGTCTGCGTATAACACGCCCTACTGGGGGGGGGGGGGGGCTATTCATAGCCCACCCCCTCCTAACTCCGAAACTACTGGGCCGATCGTCAAAATTCAAACGGCGTCTCATAGCCCCGGAAAAATTGTCGAACGAAACCTAATTTCATTGACCTTGAGGTCACCGATGACGTCATAGGTCAGGTCAAAGTAAAAATTATTAGCATTTTGGTTTGTTCACGTTTTGGGCTCTGGCCGCCGTCTTACAAGTCAGACCAGGCTCATTTTTGGTTCACACACTCGTGAACAGATGCTCTAGATACCCTGAGGGTAGCAAACTTGTGCTTTGATTTTTAGGTCAAGGTCAGGTCATCACAGGTCACGAAATATTATATCATGCGTCGGTCACGTGACACATGTTTTATGGTCCATTTAGGCCAAAGATTTCGAATTTGATGTCGTCTGTGTCATTCGAGGTCATTTTGAGTCGAATTTAGCTTAGGTCAAGTCACTTTCAGGTCAAAAAGGTCAAATTTTGAAGTTAAAATTTTTCAACAAAAAGGGTGTGTATTAGATGCAGTTTGAGCTCAGTAACACGATGGTGCTATTTATATTGGCGTACGATGTCAAATACGTGCTGAAAAATTGATTTGAAAAATTAATAATTGTGATTTTTGCAATAATGCGCATAACTTGGCCATTTTTGAAGTTTTTTTAGCTAAAACTTGCTAAAGTTACTCAAAATAATGGGTTCTATCACATAGGGGTAGTTGGGGCAATGCCGGAGTTGGGGCAAAGCCGAAATTCGAGATATTTCGAAAACCGTAAGACATGGATGCCACCTGTCAGTGATGCTCTGAAGCTTAAGTGACTACAATTATCGCATGTTTGTTACGAGTCGTCATTCGGAATACTTCGACTGTGAGGGCGCCAAGAGCGTTTTCAAGGTACGTTTCCCTTGTACTACATGCGCCTTTGAAGCTTTTTACTCATTATGCTACCGTTTGTCTGGCCAATTCGGTCAAGTAATCTTTAGCATGTCTTTGCATAAGTGTGCTGCCTATTTGAAATTTATACAGCACGTTGAAAAGTTATGGGCCTGCAAATGAAAGTATGGCTGGCTGGGGTAATGCCGAAAACGTGCGATTACGCACGTGTTAAAAGCACGCTACGTGGACTTTACTGCTGTAGAATAGCAACGCGTATTTTCAGTCACACAAATTACATTTTCAACCGACACAACGGCCTGTTACCTATAAGGAATGATTTACCTGGCATTTTCTTATTATATCACACAATTATAACTTCCAGTGTGCACCGCGTCCTCAAGCTCTTGAAACGTGTGTCAGTTTTGATGAATTCTGGACAAAGTTTGAGATAAAATGGCAAAACATCAATGTCGGCATTCCCCGTAGATCATTTCTCCCATTTTCGGCTTTCCCCGCAGTCCGGGGCAACGCCGAAAAAGTCACTTCTTTGATATTTTTAGTTTGTGCGCTTAACGGTATGCGAATTCATCAAATGCGCCTGGTATGTTTGAAAGGCAAAAGACTGGCCTCTCGAATGACGCCAACAAGAATAGCGTATGTTGTCTACCTTGCGTGCTACGGGCGTCAGAAAAAAGTCTTCGGCGTTCCCCCAACTTCCCCTATATTCCGTTTTTTTAGAAAAATCTAAAACTTTTTGGAAAAATGTAAAGATATAAATTTTGAATTTTATAATATTAAATTTTCGAAATTTTCAAAATTTCGAAAATCCGAGATAGCAGTTTGATAGCGCAGTCTATTCTAAGTCCTCTCATGCAAAGAAATTGGATCTAGCTTAAAAACTGAGCTCTTGGGAGCGATTGCCGTGGTTCAATGTTTTGCGTCGAAATCAGCCGAACATGACGTCACTCTAACGTCATTTCCGGCCGACCTATGGTAGCTACGAAGTTCATATTTTGACACAAGGTGTCAAATTGATGCAGCCGAAGGTACTGTAAGTATGTCGTTGATACATCAAGCGGTTTGGAAGTTATTGCAGAAAAACGGGAGGGGGGCTATGAATAGCCCCCCCCCCCCCCAGTGGGGCGCGGGTTAAAGGAACCAGCAAATCAATACCGTACCATGGCCGGTGAGCCAGATTGCCTACTTTTGTAAACGACCGAGCCAGAATAATCGGAATCATCAAAATCATCAAATTCGATTACATGACAAATAATAAATAGCCTTTTAAGAATCAGAATACCGGAAGGATTTTATAATAGTGTCAATTAAATGGAGTGTATCTGTAATGGTATGTTGCAATAAGAGAATATGAAAATGTAATTCAATCAAACGCATGTAGGTAATGTACTTGTCCACTATGTTTCATGCGACGCACTGTCTATAAGCCCGTTATTCCTGGGACCGTCTAAGGGGAAGACCTTGAAAAAAGGGGACGGCCGCTGCGTGTGCGGGTGCCAGACTGTCCGTGACGCACTGTAAACACACCAGCAGACCTAGCACAAACTGAACTTGAAACTTGTTTACTGGCTGGGCTAAACCATGCGCTCTGTATAGACCTTCTTCAATGCCGTTCCATGCTGCAAAAACATCCGACTGAGAAAAAAGGGTAAACATAGCCATGGAACCATTAGTGGCGTCAACGGTCAAACCCAGCAAAAGCGATGTAAAAAACTGTGAACTCAACAATCACGTCACTTCCTATCGTTCACCTTACTTTGACCGCGAACGGTCGTGAAGCCAAACAATATGAGAACGGATGCAATCTCAGTGCATTTTTACACAATTTTACTAGCCGTAACGCCATTTGCAGTTCATACAAAGCCATATCATGCCCCGCCATCACGAATTCGGCATTCCGTTCGAAAAGACGTTCACGACAAACAATGCATCCACATTATTCTTCAGCACAGCGTCGGGTTCTTGACATTTTCAATGAACACTAATTTCTTGTCTCATTAAGGCCGCCGTCCACTGGTTAGGCGCGCACATTTACGCGCTGAATTTAACATTGGAGTCTATGGGTTGCGCGCCGAATGCAGTTTCAGCGCCTAAAGCACGATGAAGCGTTGTCAGCTGATTATTCATCGGCTGGTCGGCGCTGAATTACTCGCGTATTCGACGCTCACGAGTTGAAATATTCCAACTTTTCAGCGCGTCCTTGACGCGCATACGCCGCGGCGTTTTTATCATCAATCGGGTGTTTTGTTGATATTTAAAACATTTGAAAAGCATTTTTGAGATGAGGTTAGTGTTGCTAATATTTTGAGTGTGGCAGTGTGTGTGTTCTGTGTTTCATCATCTTCCTACATCTCCAGAATAGCATTAAATGAGCTGGTAAGGTAGGTCAGGTGCAATGAAATCCAATCTTCCTCTTTTCCTAAGCATAAATATGCATTAATTACAAATAAAACTTTGCCATATATTAGGTGAGTTTCGTGATAATAGTTTTTCTTCCTTGAAAATATATGTTTATAAGGCATTTCAAGCCTGATATGTTTAATATGTTTGGTTTTGTGGATGCTTGACCTACCTACTTTTTCTAAAGTGAGATCAAGATATTTTGAATGCTGCATATATGTAGCTAGCATTTTCCATCTCCTTTTGAAGTTTGTTTCATATAAGGGTACTGGTGCAGGGGGAAGCGGGAGTCTAGATCCTTAAGTAACTTTGTTTCCGCAACACAGCAACTCAAACTGCTGCACATGCTACAAAATGACCATTTTTTGCTATACGATTAAATGTAAGCCATGCAAATCTGTGCATTTTTGGTTGAAATGAACCCTCAGTCCCAAAACCATAGCAAAGTTTGGGAAAAGTATACATTAAGTCCGAGTGGCTGTTAAAAGATGAAGTTTTCATATTCTTACATTATTTGACATCCTGAATCCAAAAATGATACTTATATGTCCTGGAAATAAAAGAAAAACATAATCAAACCTGACCTAACCTTACCTACTTACCTACAACCTACCAACCTACAACCTACAAACCTACAACCTAACCTAACCTAACCTACAAACCTACAACCTAAAACCTAAAACCTACAAACCTACAACCTAACCTAACCTAAAACCTAAAATTTTTGCTGTTACATATTTGTATCAACAGCGTCACAATTGTCCACTCGGACCTAATCTATACTAATACCCAAAGTTTTTTTAGGGACAGGTGTTTTCCATAATTTTGGTTAGGATGTAGCTTGGTTTCAGGGTTGTAGTTTTTTTTTGGTAATAGTAAAGCAGATGTTACACTTGTTTTTTGCAACCAAGGAGTGTCGCTCTAGGTTAGGTTGTAGATCGTAGGTAAGGTTAGGTCAGGTTTGGTTAGGTTTGGTTTGGTTTGATAAGGAAGCATCTCTGGGTACGGCGCCTCTCCTTGGTTGCAAAATGAAAAAAAACAAGTGTGATGCCTGCTTTACGACTGCCGTTTTTTATATTTGTGCCTGGTGTACCTTCATTGTCCTGTTTTGTGCCAGACTGAAAAAAATCCATACACTGTGCCGAATGTCTCGGGCTTTCATGAGCCGATATTGTGTGGCTTTGGATGAACATTTGGATGAACACCCATCATCGACATGGTTTATGATTCAAAAGCGTAGGGAGTGAAGTTAGCCAAGGTTACCTAGGTCTTGTGTCTTGTGCCAAAATTTCTTTGTCCATCCGTATGGCAGAATTTTTGGGCGCACAGAGTTACGCTGGATACTGCACCGAAATTTCAGCTCAATCCGCCCGTTACGCCAGACATGTCGATGATACCATGAATTTTTTTTCAGTCTGAGTTCAGTGTCTGCCTTGTGCCTTCTGTGTCCTGCCCTCAGCCCTGTATCCTGCTATGTACCATAATACTCCCGAGCTTTCTGCAATCGGTCTGTTTGATGTTCCCTGATTCAGGCAGTGTATCGCGGATGTACAGGGGCCTCTGTTAGCAATGTGACATGATCAATCCCATTTTTCAGCTCTACAAGTGACACCACCTTAGTTGAAGCCGTGAGACGTCATGACGTGCTCTGGCGTCCTCAGGACAGCAACTACTTTAACAGAAATAAGAAGAAGCTAGCATGGGAGGAGGTGGCAAAGACCACTGGGAGATCAGGTAAAACTTACGCATCATATTTTGCTTGTACGTGTTGTAAATGGTGCCAACAGCCACAGGCTCTGCCACGTTTTTAGAATTGGGTTCTAAGCTTTAAAATGCGAACCCTTACACATCCGTGGTGCTTGTATAATTGTGACGTCTCTCAGGTAACAAACACATGTCGCTTGACAAAATAAATTTGCAAGGCTCTCACCAATTTTATTCCCTGCTTTTCAGTTCAGGATGCAAAATCGAAATGGAAAAGTCTGCGTGACTACCACCTACGCAAACGCAGGCAATTGCCAAGTGGCTCTGGCTGCCCGCCACCAGAGAACTCCTCCTGGCAAAAGGAAATGTCATTTTTGGATGATGCCATCAAGCCTAAACCGTAAGTTAACTGCAGTAGGATGTATGTCCTGGATTTTAGTGCACGTCCTGGATCTTTGCATTAGGACATAGAGATGAAAAGTCTTTTTTCAAAAATGTTGTATTCCAGTAGCACAGATCTTGCACATTGCCCAGTAGTGCTCCATTACTGGAGCAATAAGCATAAGCAATAAGCTTCACTGTCGTATTAATTAGTTGCTGTGCTGACTTCTGAGTTTTTTTTTTACCCCTCCCAGTCCATATCACTTTTCCATTAGAAAACCTGTTGTATTCCTGTCATGTATCAAATGCTACGTTCCTTCCTTTCCTATGCAGGGTAACGACAAACTTGACGCAGCCTGGAACAGGATCGCAATCCTTATTCTACTACACAAACCAATACTCCAATGAGGTGTGTAAAGTGATTTCTGGGTCACTCTAAATGATGATCCATATCCGATCTTGGGCGTTTCATGACTCCTTTCAATGCAGTGATTTCGTTGGAAATTAATAAAGCAATGCCGTGACATGCAACAGGCCTGTTCTAGCTGTTTACATTGATTGTTTTTTTCTTGTTTGTTTGTTCATTTGTTTTTAACGAACAGTGTTGCCAAGTTTCATTTAAAACCTTTTGGTCATCATGCACCTTAACAATCGCCTCCTCAGGCCCATTGTTATTCCCAGACTCCGCCCTGTAGAGGAGCTAGTAAGAGGGTCTCTGCCCTGTTATTTACGAGACTACTGGACCAGTTTTCAAAGCCGGTCGAAATTCGAAATGCCCAAATGTATTCCTGATTGGAATTCAGCTCCCAAATAAAGGTTTTTGTAAGTTTTATAAAAGTAACCGAGATACGTTTTTGATATACTCGCAAAAAACCAGCAGCAGGGCGCAGATTAATCACTAAGATTTGAAAAGGAACTTACGTGACCTGGGGTCAAAATTTTCAAAAACGATGCGAAATTGATGTATCATATGCTATACCATGTTTCGCGGCGCTGCGCGCCGCGGTTTTCTTGAAGCGCGCAAACAAAACTGGCAAGTGTGGCCAAAACACGGGCACTCGGGCGAAGGTTAAGTACAGGGGTCAAAAGAGATCCAATGCTAATTAGTGTTATTGCGGCTGTTTAATCGTGATTTTCGGGGCGTTTTTCAAAAATGTTAAATTCGGAAGAATTCGGTCTAGGGTGTTCGGAAGAATTCGGTCGTAGTCAACATCCAAACGAACCTTGCAATTGGCCGAATTTCATTTTCTAACCATTTTTGGTGACCTATCAAATATCTCGCATCAATCTTCACTCACGTAATCATCATGTGTTTCAGCTTTGTGTGTCTGATGAGGACAGCAGCGAGACTCAACTACCAGACGACAGTGCTGGTGAGTTTGTTCAAATGGTATGCAGCCATCATAGCATAATACGAAACTGCCACTGGTGGTTGACACCTGTAACTACGGATAGCCGACATGGCGCCATCTGGTTAAACTGACCTGACTTGACCTACCCCAAACGCATAAAGACATAATCTTAAATCAAAACTTACATGAAATTCGTCATTAGGACTCCGAAAAGCATAACCTCGTCATTTGACAACAACGTAACAAACGAGGACTCTAGTGTCTATCAGTGCCTGTAAGCCAGTCATACATCGATCTGAGCCTAGGACGGCGTGTATTTTAACTGCTCGTCTGTAAGCCACGATGATCTAACTGTGGTGTCCTGGTTGCCACCAGCAGCGAGCTGTGCCTCAGGAGTCCTCCCAGTTGCGACGCTCCTCGGAGGGCCTCGGATGTCCGCGGTGCCACCAGCAGCGAGCTGTGCAGTCAGTTCAGGAGTCCTCCCAGCTGCGACGCTCCTCGGAACGCCTCGGGTGTCCGCGGTGCCACCAGCAGCGAGCTGTGTCGCCGGCCCGAGCCATCCGCGCTCTTCTGGCACCAACGGCCAAGTCAAGCAGGTCAGGGGGCCGGGTGCTCGTGGCGCCGAGAAGCTTGACGCCGCCATAGCGTCCATAGAACGCGCGGTGAGCGACCTCCGTAACCCGGACCTACTATTTGGTCAGCTGGTGGGGTTGGAGATGGAGCGTGTGAGGGACGACAAGAAAGCGGATGCGAGACTGGAGATTCTTACAGTCTTGAAAAGGGCGCAGTCCGATTAAAAGCAGGTGATAACCTTCGCACGGGTGGGGGAGGGGGGACGTTTTTCACACATATTTGATAAAAAATGACCAGAATGATTCAAAACGATCTTATAGCCAGACATGTGCATGGATCCGAGAGGTGGATCTATGATCTGAGCGGATCTCTCGAGCTTATGGGTAAGATCTATGATCTGAGTGGATCTCTCGACACAGTTGAGGGGTTGGATCTATGATCTGAGTGGATCTCTCGACAAAGTTGAGGGGTTGGATCTATGATCCGGGTGGATCCCAGATCTAGATTCATGGGATCGAATTTCAGATCCATTTTCCCGGATCCATGCACATGTCTGCTTATAGCGAGCTATATAATGCCTGTTCGGCGTCTTTCCAGCTTCCTTTGATTCTGAGATAATGTGATGCGGCCAAATGCGTCCCCTCTCCATGCAACCTCCACCATGGCGAACTTTGCTGAGCCTGAGTCATATTCTGCGTAGTGTGTATTTCCGCAGTCTGATCGCTATAGCGACCCTTTTTCAAGTTTTGATTTAGGAGTGAATTCGTTTACCTGGTGTTTAAATGTTTGAGCTCCTTTGCTGTGAAGTTGAAGTTGGACGTTACGTGGTTATCTGACTTTGGTTGTTGGAAAGGGCGACAGTTAATGTTATTTATTTCCACTACTTTCGCGTGCAATAAACGACAAAGGCCGGAAATGCTTGTATTTATATGACAGGTTTTTGAGCGTGACAAATGAAACAGCATTATCACACGGAGCAACACCAGTGGCGTCAAAGACGACTCAATTCCCGCCTCTCGCACCTCTCACTTGCCGACAGAAGCAGCCTGCTGCGGAACGGCTCCCCAGCCACGAAGTGACAGGCTTACACGCCCTCACTGCCCGACAGCAGCATCCTGCCAGGGGACGGCTCCCTCGGCCATGAAGTACCGGGCGAACTGGTCGCGGATGCGCTCGGCCTCCCGAGTGAAGTTGTTGGCGCCCAGCCTGCCCAGCTCGCAGAGTCCGCCCACCTGCTCGCCGCTGGCGTCGGCCTGCTGCGGCTGCTGGCTGTCCGCCTGTCCTTGGTCGCGCACGTAGTTGTGCAGGATGCACGCCGTCCTGACAATAGTGCAGGCGTGCTCAGGATTGACGTTCAGCGGACGCCGGAAGATGCGCCACGTCTGGGAGAGAATCCCGAACGCGTTCTCCACTACCCGTCGGGCGCGCGACAGCCGGTAGTTGAAGATGGTGGCCGGAGCTCCCAGCCGGCTCTCGGTACGTCCGGGATAGGGCCGCATCATGTGCACCGTCAGCGGGAAAGCTTCATCGGCGACGATGACGCTTGGTAGGGTCGTGCCTCTCTGATCGATCGCCTTGGGAGGGGGCAGGTCGAGAGTGCCGTCTTGCAGTTTGGCGGCTAGGTCACTCCTCCTAAAAATGCCCCCGTCCGACTCTCTTCCGGCGCTTCCCACTGACGTGTACACGAACCGATAGGCACCGTCCACGGCTGCCAGGAGGACGATGCTGAAGGACTTTTTGTAGTTATAGTACTCGCTGCCAGAGTTGGAAGGGGCTTGGAGTACCACATGCTTCCCGTCCAACGCGGCCACGCAGTTCGGGAAATTCCACTGGGTGCGGAAGATCTCCTCGCTTCGCTCCCACGTCGCCCTGGTGGGAGCTGGAAGCACCTCCGGTCCCAGTATGGCGATGATGGCCGCGCATGTGTCGTACACGATGGCACGCACGGTTTTCTCGCCGAGGCGATAGCAGGGTGCCAGCGCAGAAAACTCCATGCCGGAGGCCAGGTACCGCAGCGTCACGGCCAGGCGCTGAGCGGGGTCGATAGGTTCGCGGAAGTTGGTGCGCTGGCGCGTGATGCTGGGCCCGATCCTGGCGAGAAGCAGGTCGAAGGTCTCCCGACTCATGCGGAAGTAGGCATGGTGCCGGTCGGGATCCACGGCACGCAGCTCCTGCACCAAGTTAAAAAACTCGCCTCGGGCTTGTCGCCTCTGCAGCACTTCGGCAACCCAGTACCTGCGTCGGGCTCGACGGCGCTCCTGCTCCACCCGGATTCGAGTCGTGCTTAGTGCGATTCGTGCGATGTTTAGCTCCATGTCGTGAATAGTTAATTGAATAATGACGGACTTTTAGCTGATGTGAGAACCATAACAAACGTTGTTTACATTTCCGTCCCTGCTAAGAGATTGTATTGTCTTCAAGAACAATTTAATGAACCTTTTACGGTTCATATAAGAAACTGACACAAATTAAACCACGGTCAAAGGCGCAATTAATTATATAAATAATTATTATTTATCTGTCAGTGATGTGCATTACCACAAATTATATTACATTTTCATGCATTTTTTATCGAATTGTCCTTGAGCTATCATGGCGGATCCCGATGAAATCAAATTCATCGCATAGTCATCGTTAAATTAGGCGCCGAAAATGGTATTCAGCGCCTAAACGATTAGGCGCTGAAAGCGCGCCTAACCAGTGGACGGCGACCTTTAGAGTTCAGGAAGATGCATGGGCTTCATGCAGCCCGGCGAATTCACCTAAAACGTCATGTTGTACTAATGGCTAAAGCGCATTGAAGCTCGTAAGCCGGCTAGGTATGCCCATGTATGCCTTTTCTTCGGTCTTTATCGCGTGTTTATTTGCTTCCATTCATGTGATATAGGAGTATAATGTGCCTATGTACCAAGTTCAGTACTCCACTAAACCATCAGTTAATCTATTACGCATATGCTATACCTATAGAAGTGGATGGCTGCATACTGTACTAGTGAGCGTACAACTCATTATTAAATCACATGCCTAGCAAAAAGCAGTTCTCTGAATTTCACACGCTGGCATTCATTTAGGAACGTGCAGGCACCCGCACGTTATTGCTTTGCAGAATTAGATAACCCGATACGCTAATTTGCCGGGGAGTTTCCCTTCCGTAAAAGTGAGTTCAACACACAGCCTCCTGGGTGGAATACAGGGAGATGATTTAGAACATCTCAGGAAGCACAGACTACCGTGGATTCCCCCAGCTGGAGTGTCTAATGGAGGCTGGGCCGGTCGAATAAATCCAGGCGGCTCCATTACCAGCAGTGTGTTTAATTTGAGTCTCATCTGCAGTGGATCACGCTGTATTTACGGAACTGTTTCAAGAGAAATGCCGTGAAGACGATCCAACTCGGGCTCATCTTCATGCACGCAACGTAGAACAGGCGAGAAATAAAAGCTCAGAGTGGCGCTAAACAGAAAATATATTGTTAGCAAGGTCTGTATGGAGCAGTTCTGGACTTGTATATTTGACAGTTCCTTATCAACATTATCCGTTTACTACTGAATGTGAACTTATTCCTGTCAAATCCAAAACAGTCTCTACGTATCAGCATAAAGACGCACAAATATTAATAACATGTTTCCTTCACCAAATGTCTTTTAATTCACGTACCTATGTAGCTTGCTAGGCATTTCACCGAAGACAGACTAAAACATTTATCATCAGCAGTATAGTTCCAGACTTAGTCAAAAACCTATTTCATCGACAAACAAGCCCACCCACCACTTACTGCCAAACTCTCCCTCCCACTCCACCCCCTCCCCACCCCTCCAATGTTTTGGCGTGAATGGACGCTGCCCCTCCCCGCGCGTATTTTCGTCACGGCTATGCGGCCTCACGTCTCCAGAGTGGCCCCATTCCGGCGGCACGTGCTGCTGCAACTGGGACCACCCCACTCTCAGGGGAGTAGAGGCGTGAATGGGCGCCGACCGGTGGGACCTGCCCCGGTCGGTGTCCAACTAACGGCAGCCGGCGAGAACTGACTAAAAGGGTCAGCCCGGTGGGACAGTTCAGTGGCTCGGTTAGAGTCGAATCAGGTTGAACTTTAACGATGGACAACGATAAAGTTCGATGGACGCCGACTTTAACAGTTTGGCGAGGAGCAATGCCATCGGAACACTTTCATCACGAGCATTTCAGAACTTTTCGTCTCCCATTCCTTCCTTCACGCAAGGATAATAAGGCAGCTCCGTGGAAGACCATATGACCATAGGCAGCGTCAGCTATGTTGCGCAAAGAAGGCGAGAGCAAACCAGCTAAGGTCCTTAGCTGGTAGATGATAACGAGGTGGACCAAGGAAGTCCGTCAGACGGGTCCCGAGCGGACAGCCGAGTCGGGACCATCTAAACGGCCGGGCTAGCGCGAAGCGGCCGGGGTTAGGTGTCCGCTCAGGCAGCGTAATGAGAGGCCGCACACAGTCGGACGTGATTAATGACCGTGCAAATTGAACAGAGAGGATGCGAGCTGGGTGCGGGCGATGAGCGCGCTCAGGGTCGTACCGGAGAAGACACGGGTCTCTGTCTGAGCTGACGGGTGTGAGCTCTGTGGTCTGCGAGTGATGGCTGAATGTGGTCTGGGGAAGACACTGATACAAAGAGTGGAGAGGAGACAGGGGAGAGGGAGGGAGAGGGAGAGAGAGGGAGAGGGAGAGAGAGGGAGAGAGAGAGAGAGAGGGAGAGAGAGAGAGAGAGAGAGGAGAGGGAGGGAGAAAGAGGGCCGAGGGGGTGGGCGACTGTCGAATGCAGCGATTGCCGCACACACCGACGCCCTTTGCTAGAGTGTGTGACGTAATCGGAACAGCCATCTGACGGTCGTGCAGAGGGGGCTCCGCCACAGACCACACTCCGCAGTGGGGTGCGGAGAGTGCAGGGGCCAGGGAGGACAGGAGAGAGGGTGGGAGGTCTGAATCATTCTGCTCACGGGCAGCAGAGTGGTTTCAAAGAACGGACGGGGAACTTTGTTGCGTGGATCCGGTTAAGAAACATGTAAATGTCATTCCGAAGCGCAGATTTTATATTTACCGACGGGATAAGGAAATGTATCGCAAAAATGAATTTATGTCCTCAAAAATGTGTTTGAATGCAAATGAAATTAAAGATAGGTAATGGGCTTATTTTCAAAAAATGGCACTTACGAGTCTTACAGGTCTTTTGTACTGTTTGTATTCTTCTCCAGTCGATCATTCCCTTTCGGCTGATCTCACTCCTGCTAAACTCAGAACAGGCGGGAGCTGTGGCCAGTCGTCTACCCACCAAAGATTTGTCCCCGTGTGATCAGTGAGACGGCTAAAGGCAATGGGTCGAGTCGCGTTATTGTGCTTCACGTTATAAGGTGACGATGCAAGGCGACGTGCATCTATGGGTGCGCGTCGCCTTTTGCAAGTCGTTTAGATAGCATTCGGTATAGGACACATCTGATCAACGTTCGACACATGGTCAGTTAGCGTCGCACGTACAGGGTGAAAATATGAGTCTCGTTGGGTTCAAATGCTCGCCTTCGTCACTGATAAGGCGTCGATAGGCTACTGTAATGACGCTGATGCAATGATTTACGGTTCACTGTCTGCAGGGGCATCGGCCACTGAAGAGTAAATATACACATGTCTTAGTAGATGCGAAGTTCAGTTCCGTCATCATGTGTATTGTGTATGGTTGCAATAGGTCATAGAAAAGTGCCCCAAGGCAAGTTAGGCGGAACTGTCATCGAACAATGGAACCACGATTCACGAGCGTACGAGCCCACATCTCCGCGGCGTCTCCGATATATACCAGTCAAGATATGCGCTCTGGACACCTTTTACGACCTTTCCTCCCCACAAGACTGCGGTTCCCTCCCTCCAACAGGTGCTCCGTGTACTCTGCCGACGGGGTCCCCTCCCCCTCCCGCGCACCCCTCCCACCGACAGGGGCGCCGCCCCCGACCCCGCCGTCAATTAATGGCAGAAAAACCGCTCTGGAATGCGAGCGACCGAGAGTTTATGAACAACCGTGCCGGGATCTCGGCATAAACGCATGTGAACTCGAGCAGAGGGACAGTTTTTTCGGCACTAGGTCTAATTTAGATCGCTTTAACGCGTGAAATTAACAACGCCTGTCATAAATTAAGAGTTCGGCTGGCTACATTGTCATTCGTTTTGGCCGGTGACCTAGGAAAGCCAGGTATCGATAGCCTGAGTGGACGACTAACAGACGACAAATGAGTGGGAAAGGTGCACACCAGTAACTGCAGCAAATGACCTCAAGGCGGGAAGCAGTCAATCTCAACATTTCTCGGGTGTGAGTGCTGACGTTACCAGCCTACCTTGAGAGTCGCACTGTCAAATTATTGAGCTTTAAACTAAAAGGGAAGGCCAGAAGCGTTTTCAAAGTGGAGCTGCTAGACCGGGCTAGATCCGGGATCTCAGACTAACCTTGTCATCCCCTTCACATTTATGTCTCGTTCATTTGCATATCCATAATCACCTCCTAAAGCAAATTGCTACTTGAGAAAACTGCAGCGATTACTTAACCTCAACTATGTCGTAGTGTGATTCACCGTAATTTACCGTCGGTAGGTGCACTTTGCTTCTCAAGGTCATTTCAATCTTATACATAGACCTTCTTGTTGTAGGGGCGCGGGAACTACTTTCCGACTGGGGGGGGGCACACCATAATAGAGATTAACCTAGGGTACCCCCAAATCTAGGTTTCTCACCGGTTTTAGGCCACTTATTTTTCACCCCTCGGATTTTTCAACAAAAAAGAAAACATTTGCAAAAAAAGTGTGTTATTCCGTCTCAAAGCTGTGGGGGCACCGCCCCCACGGCCCCAGAGTTGGGGGGGGGGGGCAAGCTGCCCCCATTGCCCCCCCCCCCCCCGGCTCCCGCGCCTATGTTGTTGTCTTATGAAAGCATTGACCATACCCATAGCGTTATGCTCCAATCTAAATAATTCATAGGTAAGGTGCAATTGTAAGCGAATTCCTTTCCACCATCTTTAGAAGACGAGACGCTAGTGTCCATACTAACCCGGATCTGTGTCTCCTGACTAGCGCCGAGCTCGAAGTGGAAGGACAGCCGCTGTTTGTTGTGTGCTCGCTGTTGTCCATTGCGTATCCTATCATCCGTTGACCCACGCACTCACCTGCCCGCGGGTGGTGCTCCAGGCGGCCCTCCTCCAGCAGCAGTGTCTCCCGCTCCAGCAGCGACGCCTCCGCCTCTGGATCCACCTCGGCAAGAGAGTCGGCCAGACGGTACAGAGGCTCGACCAGACGCAGCTCGCGGACCAGGTGACGCACCAGGCCGCGCACTAACTGGCCCGTGTCGCCGAGCAGCTGTGGAGAGAGACAGGAGGTGTCAGATGCAGAGCTGGGAGTATCTCCCCACACCGACTGACCCGTGTCACCGAGCAACTGTGGAGGGAGACAGGAGGTGTCAGATGCAGAGATGGGAGCATCTCATTCTCCCGCACCGACTGGCCCGTGTCACCGAGCAGCTGTGGAGAGGGGATAGGGGAACAGGGGTCAGAATAGAGCTCAGAATATTCTCCCATCGAGGGGAACAGGCGTGAGAATAGAGCTGCTCAGAATATCCTCCCATCGATTGACCGGTGTCACAGGACAGCTTCTCAGAGAGGACAGGGGAGCAGTGGTCAGAATGGAGCTGGAAGCAGCCCTCGTACCTACTAAACGGTGTCACCGAGAATGGAGGGGCGACGGGGCGATGTCATGCCAGCAGGTCAGCTCGCAATTTGCAGTGTCAAAGTCTCAACATGTCATTACTGGCGGCGCCAAAGCACTCCCGACTCTCCTTCCCCCCCCCCCCCCCCTCCCTAGCGACGGCCACCAGTGATCCCTGGTCTAGACGGCTTGCCGAACCCCGAGTCGTTGAGCTCCGACCACAGAGCGGAGACTCCACCTGACGCGTCACCTAGCGGTTAAAAAGAGAAGCGCTAGTTCAGTTGCCCACCATCAGAGTCCGCTCGTGCGGGCGATGCCCAGCCAGGGTGGAAAGACCTCGCTGCCTTCCAAACTCGATCAATCGCATTTTGTTTGTGTATTTTGAGCGAATCTGACGCAATGTTCTTAGTAAAGCTATGCTAGTCCATTGTAAGTACGAGCAGGAACTAGCCGGAAAATATGCGTTTCCTGTACGGAACCAGTCGATCCAGTCCATTTGCGCCGACAGCCATGCAAGGGGCAGGCGTAAGGAAGGGCCATGCCCCATTTGCAGGCTCAATATCACTACCGCCTCTATGCCGCCTATGGCATTGCATAACATTGCATCCCAGCACCAATTTTGGCGCTTGTCACTGCCTCCAGTCCCGGCTGGGTCTGACTGTTCCGACCCCACTCCCTCCGACCCACACCGCACACGGTGGTAACTGGTAGTCGCAGTCGTTCAACCCCAGCTTCTCACTTCTCAGCCCCATAGCACAGAGGCATTGTCAGTCGGCAGTCTCCCTCCAGCTGACTGTGCAAACTCACAAGTGTCACCTCAGCTCCCATCACAAATCACGGCACCTTCCGGGCCGCCCCCGGTCCCAGCGGGGCAGCCCTGGCGTCCCAGCAGAGGTCACGACGCGCCCATAACAACGGTCATGCTGCGGTCAGGGGGTGTGTTCCGCACCAAACGGCCCTGTAACCCGGAATAGTAAAGTCACTAGTCAGCGGCTGGCAGAGAGACGGCGGTGTGATGGCGACGGTAATCGTGACAGGTTCAACCAATCAGCCTTTGCATAGATAGGGTAAATCTGATGAACAAAATCATTAAGCAGTGTTTTTCAGTGTTAGCGTCCGTGACGGTCACGGTGACGGTGGTGAAGACGTTGACGGTGACGGTGACGGAGACGGTTAAGTCGTCACCGCGCCGGTGACCGTTCGGTCGACGGGGCGTTGTTCCGTGACGCCGTCCCGTCACGTGGTCACCGTCACGTCACGGCCGCTCTGAGCCGCTGATGGATAAGTCCACAGTCCGTTTGTTGAAGGGCCACAGCGGTCGGCGCGGGACGCTTAGTCTGATTTACAGCTGGGAACTCGTGGTGCCCGCACATCGCACCGGTGCGGCCCCACCCCGCCGTACGCACAGGGCGGGACCGAGCCGCCGCGCCGCACCGGGATGGTATACGACTCTGGAGGTAAAACTGAATGACGGGACTGAGTGCAGCATCTGAGGCTGGGGACATGGTTTGAGCGGCGAGAAATGATAGAGGATTGCCAATTGTCATATACCACGGAGAGCCTTAGATGCACCAAAGACGAAGCGAATCATAAAGCATTAAATAAAACTGCCAGACAGGAGGGCACCACAATTTAATGAAGATGGAAAATAAACGTAAATGAAAAGGATCAATTATCAGGCACTGCGGTATTTTTGTGACGTGATGCATTAGCGGACACTATAATTTCTGAATATTTCAAAAAAGAAGCTGTGTGTAATCCCCAGTTCCGGCAATTAACGAGCAATGAAGACCACTGGTCCCAGATCTTAAATAACAGCCAAGGACGCTTGTTCATGGCAGTTTCACACTATTAAGGCCCCTTTGCAATTTAACTAGAGCCGTGCACGGTGCAATGCCTGGATTAAGAGGTACACGCTTCGTGACTTTCGTGTCTCTCCTTCTTTATTTCGGTCACTATAAAGTCAAAGCCTCCCTTTTCATACATACGGCACGCACTTTCCAGTCAACTTGCTGATTTTGATTTAGACTATAAAAGCCGTACCTATTGAACTGCTGAGTGTTGACGCTTCCCTGAGACTACTCGGCGGAGAAGTATGAACACATCTCTGAACAGCTTAATAAAAAATAGAACACTAAGATTCATAGAGTTAATGTGCACCTTTACGTTACATGACATAGCGAGCAGCGACCACAGGCTAGTTCACGGGAAAAGGATTGGCGACTTCAACGGGTAGCATTAACGTAACACCAGTGACTGCAATGCCGATTACACAGCATCTCTATCGTCATTCGCGTGACGTAAAATCAGTAAAGAAAGACGACCGCAAAGACAATGGGCATCACCAGATAGCATTCTGCACTATATTTAGAAACAAGGCCAGATACCTACACAGAAAAGGATGATAAAGACTGTAAAGCATTATCATGAGACAACTGCAAAACACTCTTATATCGATCGATACACACTACACAGCTATAAGGTACGGCAGTCGGCAAGGGTGGCGAGATCACCACTTCAGCAGGCACTTCAAATGATCCAAATTGCTCTGACCGCAAAATAACACCAAATAATGTCACATTATTTGCCAAATTATGAAGTGATGACAGATGAGGTCTTATTTCAGGATTGCCAATTTGTTTTGTGATTGAAGTAAGCAGCACTTAAAATGGATGCCCCGAGGATGTTGCGTGAGAAGCGTCGCACTACCCCTCGCAAGCTGCATGTCATAACAAAATTATGCGAATGAGATCGTATACCTAATCCTATTTGAACTACACTTCTTGGGCATTTCCTATAATATCCCCATCACCGCATGAATTGGAATAGCGGATTTTATATTAATTTCCGATTAAATGACGGGATAGCGGTGCGGTAAAACATAAAGGCTTTGCTAACTACCGCCAAAATTAATCGAATCACGGGCAAGGCATCTGCCTCATATCTTTCCACCCCGTTAATGGGAGTAAAATGCGTTCGCAAGTCATCTCCAGTTCTCATCAGCTCCAATTTTTCATTTCAGTAATGATCCGCTCGGGCGCGACTAACTGTTTGCCGCCAGCTGGCGTCTGACACTGTGACGTCAGCCTCTAGGATCGTGACGTCAGACCTTGTATGTCGTGTAGGTCTTTCAGTCTCGAGTACGTCGGAGGATGTTTACCCGATGATGTGCCGTCGCGACGGCGAGTACGAGACACATAAAGTCTCCCGGTCTAGCGCTTACATAGGATGTGAATAAAGCAAGCATCCCCGCCGAAGCGAGAATTCCTCCGAGGTCACTGAGTCTGCAGCTTTTCAGTCTTTTCATCCTGCCCTAACGCTTCATTTACATCTGGCATGGTGTATCCGGGCGCAACGGTCACTAGTGACACGACACGAGCCGCTCTGGCTTTGACTTCAGTTGTAACTGGGGTGAACGCTTGTCAACAATTTGGACCACCCCACAAGTGGCCAGGTCGGTCACGAGTCAGTCTTTGTCGCTCTGTGGAGAGTGACTGGACTGTTTTAGCGTCCAGTGTCCGCAGCCAATGTTACTGGGCCACCAGAGGCGACACAGATGGAACTCACGCAAACGTGCTTGGCAACAGCGGAGGACTCGATGTTTACGACTTTGATTGCGTCGAGGAAACCTGAATAGTCACCCGAAGGTACCGAGGCGAAACTTTACCTTTGAGTGAAAGTCCAATTGTGTGTGTTTTGCATGATGTGAGAAGTTACGACTCGTATTGGCGGCAACAATAAGATAAGCGCCAAAGTTTAGAAACCCGTTGAGTTACGATAGAAATCGGTCCGCGTCGCTCCTGGCTGAGCCGGGGAGCGGCTGGTGAGAGGCGACGGAGACAAACTGTCCGTCACAGCGCGCCAGACACTGACAGATCACCCGACACACCCGGTGTCAGACGGCCCGACAAACACACACGATCGGTATGCAGACATGTGCTCCACACTCGCAGCCAGTTCCGCACGGTGGCAGACGAGAAACCGGTTGCGAAAATACCACGCGACGTCGGCTTTCATGAGCGAAGTCCATTGAGACGGCCAAACTGCAGATTAGAAACCGCATCGGTCGCCGCGACTTCCATTATGGGCGCTGGCATCGCACCCGAACGGAGACGCTCGTCAGCCACGTCAGCGCGACTCAAGACGGTGCGTACTAATTAGTCACTAAAAGGGTTTGACACAGGACAGCAACATTTTCATCATAATGAAACAGCGTAATGGACAGGAAACGAATAAATACCCTGAATCGAACGACACCAGCATAAGTCATGACTTTATCCAACGACCCAATAGCAAATACAAGCACCCACATAAGCAGAAACAACCGGCTGACACCAATGACAGTTGCAAAGCAACATCAAACGTCGGAGGTGCAGCGTTGCGCTCCTTTGCATCCACGCATCCGCGTCTAAATTTTCTTGTATCCGTGGCCGCGGGCCATGACTCGTCGAGCACCTCTGCAGTGCAGCCCGCCGGGCCGACCACCGCCCACATTCCACCGTCATGAGGGCCGCGCCAGGACCGCACGCTGCTGACCTCCGCCGCCCGCGGCCACCCTGCACACTTTCTCGCGCAGTGCCGACCCACTTGGTGCAGACGGCCGCGGCAAGAGAGCGACCTCCGGGGCATCGCGCGTCGGGGCAGGCAGGGAGAGT